GTGACAGATGGCAGAACAAGGAGCAATGGTCTCAAGTTGTGGTGGGAGAGGTCCAGGTTGGATATTAGGAAAAACTATTTCCCTAGGAGGGTGGTGAAGCACTGGGATGGGTTCCCTAGGGAGATGGTGGAGTCTCCATCCCTAGCAGTGTTTAAGTCTCAGCTTGTCAAAGCCCTGGCTGGATTGATTTAGTTGGGATTGGTCCTGCCTAGAGAGGGGGCTGGACTTGATGACTTTCTGAGGTCTCTTCCAGCTCTATGGTTCTATGATTCTATGATCTCAGGGGACTGTCACCTGCGTGGGCTCCCCGCGGTCAATCTTATCGCCGGTGCCCAGCTGTCCATACCGGTTGCTCCCCTGCATGAACAGGCGTCCAAATTCATCCACCAGCCCCACGTGGTTGTAGCCAAGGGCACAGGAGAGGACCTAGTGGGGGGGCAGGGCCGGTCAGGAAGTGGCAGGGAACAGAGATGGGGAAATGTGCCCCCCCCATCCCTGCCAATCCTAAAGCCAAGCCCTGGACCCAGTCCCAAACCCACAGCACTGTCTCCCCAAAACTCCAACCTGCCCCCTGGAACTGCCCCCAGTCTCCCTGAAATAAGGCCTACCCCAAATTCCAGCCCCCCAAAATCAAAGCCCTGGATGGAGTCCCCTCCCCTATGGACCCCAAACCGAGCTTCCCCTCGCTCCAAAACTGGCCCCAAACCTCCAAACTGAGCTTGTGGCCCCCCAAGCTGCTCCACCTCAGCAGGGAACCTTCCCCCGCGTTCTTTGCTCTGTGCTCCCAACCTGAAATCTCCTGAATTGCCTCCGAGCCCCAGGCTGGCACCTACCACATCCCCTCCCCCCAGTGAGTCAGATCCCTGCTGCCCGCGCCCCACACATGGGGGGCTTACCTTGGCAGGGAGGGCTAGGGCTAGTGGCATCTGCAGATCCAGTGGGTCAAAGGCGTGAAGGGTCCCGAAGAGGTCACGATAGACACCCGGAGCATGGACCTCGAAATACACAGCTCCCTTGTCTGGAAGAGTGGGAGAGACCTGAGAGATGCCCTCCCCACTGGGAGCAAAGCAGGGGGTGCGGGTCAAGAGTGAGGGGCACTGGGAGGGGGCGTGCTGGTCAAGAGTGAGGAGCATCAGGAAGTCAGGCCACAGTGGGGGCTGCGGGTGGGACGTGCGGGCCCAGCCACCCCCCATACCAGTGAGGTAAGCAGCGCTGCTCTGGCTGGAGGCCATGGCCCGCACGGCCGTGTGGGGCAGGCACCGGGAGACCTTGCGCAGGGCGAGCTGCACAGTGTAGGAGCGCGGCTGGTCCAGCTGCGTCTCGTTCACCGTCAGGCTGTAAATCTTCCCTTCCTCTGCGGAGACAGGGGCCCTGAGCTGCTGGGAGGCAGGGGTCTGCGGCATGCCCAGGCCCAGAGAGCGGCAGTGGGGCAGGCAGGCACTAAAGGGAGTGACCCTCCAAAGCTGCCCAGTCTCCCACCCGCTGGGTGCTCACTCCCCACGGTTCTCCCTGGCCCGTCTTCTGCCCCCCGGGCACCTGTCAGGAGTAGCAGCGACCGCTCTGTCTCCTGCCCCGTCAACGCCAGCTGCCGGAACTTCATGGAGGCATGGAAGGTCATCTTGAAGACACGCTGCCCACTGGCCTGCAGATACACCTCCACGCAGTCGCATGCCCGCCCGCCACCTGCTGCCACCTCCCGTGATGCCAGCACATAGACATATTTCCGATAGGCCGTGTCGCTCCGGGGGTCTGTGGTGAACTGGGGGTGAGGTGGGGAACAAAGGGAGGGGGTCATGTGGTGCGGTGTTGCAGGCAGAGGGTAAATGGCAAAGGTGGGGATTATCCCCTCTAGGGGGCGCCAGCTCCCATCCGGCCCCAAGGCAGGGACTGGCTGATTCAGGGGGGGCAGGGAATGTTCCCCTAGCCCTGAGAACCATCCCACTACTGCCACCAGAGGCCCCTGGCTGCCATGTCCAGTTGCGACAGGGGCGTCCTGGAGGGCACTCACATCCTTGGCGCCACGGCACAGCACCACGTAGCGACACGCCCGCTTCCACTGGATGTGACCTGGGGCTGAGGAGACCAGGGCGTTGCGAAGGGAGAAGAGGGTGCCACCATGGTCCAGGATGAAGACGTGTTCCTTGGTGGGCAGGAACTTGCGGTAGCCGTGGGAAAGCAGTGGCGCCACTGACTTGCTGAGGTAGCGCCGGCGCCCCCCAAAGGTTTGGAAGTAAAGGCCCTTCGTGTCTGCAGGAGTGGGGACAAAATGGGGGCTCAGCGGGGGGAGGGGTTTGACACTGTGTAAGACCCGCCTTTTCCATTGATAAGACCCGCCTTTTCATAGCCTCTCTCTTGTGGAAACCACCCCATTCTACTGCAAGCCCCACCTTTCCAAAGCTCCTCCCTCATATGAAGCTATGCTTCTCCCTTATGCAAGGCCCACCCCTCCCTTCCTCATGTTAAGAGCGACCCAGTCCCAGTGTGTGCCATACCCTATTGTCTTGTGAAGCCCATCCCTCTCTTGTGCAATCCCCACTCTCCTTTGTGCAAAATCCTGTCCCCTTGTACAAAGTCACAACCCTCTTGTGCAGAGCCCTCTCCCACCCCGCGGTGGATGGTACTGACAGTTGAGGATGGCGGCTCTCTTCCAAGGGCGTGCACCGGTTGTACCGTCCTGGCGTAGCCGCGGGCAGAGCCTCCGGCAGACCCGGCGCCAGACGCCTTCGCTGTCACACACCTGGCGCAGGTAGCGGCAGGTCTGGCCCAGTGCCACTGCATCCCGCACCGGCAGGAAGGAGACGATATGATCCAGCTGGGGGAGGGGAGGGTGAGCAACAGGAGGACAGGACCCCAATACAAACCCCTGTCATAGTGTTTTCTGGACTATAGGGACTCCAGCCCCCTGGGTTTAGGGACCTCTGGGGTATATGGACCCAAACCCCTGCTTATAGGGCCCTCTGGGGTATATAGACCCACTCCCCAAGAATAGGGACCCCTGGACTATACAGACTCAGCTCCCTGGATATAGGGATCCCTGGGCCATATGGACCAGTTCCCTGGGTATAGGGACTACTGGGCTATACAGACCATCCCCTTGAGTTTAGGGCTCTCTGGGCTATATGGACCAACTTCACAGGTATGGGGTTATATGGATATATAGGTTATATGGACTCAGCGCCCTGGGTATAGGGACCCCTGGCTCTAATGCACCATGCTGATTCACCAGCTCTGGGGGGAGGCGCTGGATGGAGGCTGAGTCCCCCAGTTCCTTCCTGCCCTCAGTGCCCTCCAGTGCCTGGCTGCAGCGTGGGCGCTTGGCCTGTGGGAGGAAGGATAGGAAGAGGGTGGGCAGGGATTGGCCCTGTACCACCCCAGTCCCCACATGACCTTCACCTGCCCCTGGCATCCCCCCATCACCCTCCCGGCTCACAGCATCCTCCTTGTGCCAACCACCTATCCCACAGCATGCCCTCTACCTGCCCTCTCCTGTATCCTCTGCCTTCCCCATGGCATTCACCCTGTGCCACCCACCTGCCCTTTCCCATGCCCCCTGCCCGCCCCATGACATCCCCCTTAGTAGCTGTTGACTGGCCCCCCATTGCCTCTCAGCCCCCCAGAAGAGCTTCCCTGTGCTGGGGGTCCAGGCTTGGGAGTAGGTGAGGAAGAGGCTCTGGGGAGCCTGGCACAACTGTTGAGTGCCAGGGGAGCTGGGTGGGCCAGGGCCCTTCCACTGTAGGGCTGCCCTGCCCAGACAGCAGCTGGCACCTGGGCGACTCCAGCTCAGACAGTGGTGGGAGGGGGATTGTTATGAGGCCTGCACTGAGAGCTGGGGAGAGCCCCCTACCCCCAGCTAAACCCTGACCTGCCACCTGCCTCACAGTGCCCCTCCTCAGCCCCCCCATCCGCTTTCCCATTCTGCCCCTTACTGAGGGCGCACCCACTACTGCACAGCACCCTCTGCTGAGCTCCCACCCTGTTCAGCCCCCCCATCCTCTTTCCCATTCTGCCCCTTACTGAGGGCGCACCCACTACTGCACAGCACCCTCTGCTGAGCTCCCACCCTGTGCCCCACAGTGCCCCCTGCTGAGCTCTTATCCCCCTGCCCCATGGCACCCCTGGCGAGATTCCACCCCATCCTATGTTCCACAGCTGTCTCTGCTGAGACCCCCCCTGCCCTATAGCTAGCCACCACCCGATACTGCCCCTCCAACTGCTCACCCCTGCAGCCTCCTCGCCTGCCAAGAGCCGAGAGCTGCGCTGGTGCCTGCGGCATCGCAGCCGCCTCACCGTGCGTCTGTCACCCATCCCTGCCCACGCCCTTGGTGCCCGGTTCCGGCCACTGGCAAGACGCTGCCGCCACCTGTAAGGCTGCGCCCAGCATGGCCCAGGATGCCTGTTCCCACCTGGCCTGTCTCCCCGGGACATGGCTCTGTGAGCTGGCGCCCACCCCATGGCTTCACAGAGCCGGGCGCCAGGGTGACAGGCAGCCTGTGACATCATGGCCGGGGCACTGTGACCTCAGGGCAGGCCTGCCTCTGCCATACAGCACCATAGCACCCGATGGACACTGGAGCTAGACTGCCTGTAGTGAAGTTGGTATTGTATTCACTTTGTTATGTTGTGTGTGAGTTTTATAGGCCTGCAGTAACCCTATGTTTGTGCCTCAGTTTCCCAAGGCACCACACTAAATGATAGGGATTTTGGGTGTGAGCCTCACTGAGAGAGGTGACCCTAGCCCAGCAGATACTCAAGTGCCTATGTCCTTTGTAACCTGAGCCCAGCTGAGCCCAGGAGAAGGGTGCAGCCAGATGACACCTTTTGCAGGGGAAGGAGAACAAAGAGCAGAGGAAGGGTTTGGGCTAGGGCTGCTAGATGCGGGAATCAGTTTTGAGTGGTTAGTGGAGCAGGGGGCTTGGCTCTGGGACCCCTCTCCCCAGATGGGATCTGCCTTGTATCAGCCATGGGCTGGGCTGGATTACCCAATACGCAGACTAAGCACGTGCTTAGGGCACCAGCAAAGCAGGGGCATCAAAAAAATGAGATCTTTTAAAAAATTGATATTTGATATTTAATATCATGGGAAAAATCAGAACCCCGCAGAACGCTCTTTTTCTCAGCTGAAAAGAATAAAAAACCTTCAGAGAACAACAGTGTGTCAGGACAGACTTGATTCACTTTCCCTATTGTGTATGGACGGTGACATGCTTCATCGAGTCAGCTTCGATGAACTTATCCAGAATTTTGCAATCAGAAAATCTAGAAAGAAGCTATTTTAATTGCAGCATACGTGTAAGTTTTGTGTCATTTCGAAAAATAAAATTTTATTTTACGGTATAGTATTGTTTTTATTTTGAATTACATATGGGGGGGGCACCATAATCTTTTCAGTGCTTAGGGCCTCTAAAGGTCTCAATCCATCCCTGGCCATGGGCAGGGATGTGGCTCTGGGGCCCTGCATGAGAAGGGAAGGCCACGCAAGGCCTTGCACAAGAGGGAAATGATCTCTCGGTGCGTCGCACAAGAGGGAATAAATTCTGCATCTCCAGTGCCTGGCATGAGACAGGAATGATTCTCCGGCTCCTGGTGCCTTGAACAATTCTCTGGCGCCTCGCACTAGAGGGGACAGATCCTCAGGTGCCTCACAGGAAAGAACCATCTCCCTGGTGTCTCGCAGGAGAGGGGAGCTGTCCCTCTGGCGCCGATCCCTGATGGGATGTCCCACCCTGCCATGGGCCAGCTGGGCCAAGTCGCTCCATCAGAGCCCGCCCACCTTGAGTAACTTCTGTCGTTGATTGGCCCCCTGGGCGCACTTGTCACCGCTTCTCTCTGTTTGCCTTCGAAGCCTACAGCCGCCCTGAAGGGAGTCTTGTTCTCATTGGCCGGCCAGATCGTCACTCATTCCGTTTGCCACTGTATGATTGACTGAACCGCACGAAAGCTACGTCCCCGCCCTCGCGCACCGGCAGTTCAGGCATTCAACTGTTGCCGCCTTTTGACTCAGTCTGAGCTGATGTTAGCGAGGCGCTCGCCTTTTGATTGGGCCTGTCTAGGACTCTCGCTCCGCCCTCTTGAGTTAGATTGACTGAAGCTCGTAGACTCACTTCGCCTTTTACGTTGCCATTAGTTAAGTGGGTGGGCAGAAACGGCTAGTCCGCAATGTGATTGGCTGAGATCTTGAAACGTACAGCTTTCTGCTCTGGGGTTGGTCCAATTGCTCTTACTCCGTAAAACGCCGTGATTGGGCGATAGCCAGGCTGAAACCACGCCCTTTCGTCGATCGGAATGGCTACAGCGTGGCAAGAGCTCCTGCCCCCTAAAGGTCGATTGGCCAGTAATAGCGCTCCGCGAGGCGCCATTGGCCGGGACCCCGCGGGCCTTGCCCCTGTTCGCTCTGCTCTGGGGTTGGTCCAATTGCTCTTACTCCGTAAAACGCCGTGATTGGGCGATAGCCAGGCTGAAACCACGCCCTTTCGTCGATCGGAATGGCTACAGCGTGGCAAGAGCTCCTGCCCCCTAAAGGTCGATTGGCCAGTAATAGCGCTCCGCGAGGCGCCATTGGCCGGGACCCCGCGGGCCTTGCCCCTGTTCGCTAATTGGCCTCCCCGGAGCTCCAGGCCCGCCCCCTTGGCTGAGTCTGGCTCCCCCGCGAGGCCCTGGCCGGTCAGTCC